ACTGGCCACTTATGTAATATTTTTGCCCAAAATGTTTAACTTTCATCAGAAAGAATCACATTAATCCAAACTGAGGCCTTACCTCTCCAAAAATGACAATATCATGAAAGAGTGGGGAATTGTTTTAGAATGAAGGAAACTAAAGAATTAAAGATATCTGAAGACAATATGCAATCCTGAATTAAAAATTAAAAATAAAAACAGAAAAGAATTATAAATTATAAAGAAAAATGGGAAAATTTTAATGTGGAACATATATTAGTTAATGAAATTGTATGTGTATTAAATTTATTAAGGATGGCAATGTATTATGGATATGTAGATGTATTGGGCTGAATGATAGCCCCCTCCCCCACTAAAAAAAATATGTCCATGTCCTAATCCCCAGAACCTTTGAATGTTACTTGGAAAAAGGGTCTTTGTAGATATTATTAAGTTAAGGATCCTTAGATGAGGAGATATACTGGGTTATCTGTGTGGTCACTAAATCTAATGACAAGTGTCCCTATAAGAGACACAGAGGAGAAAGAGAAGAGGAGGCAGCAATGTGACCACAGAGACTAGAGTGATGTGGCCACAAGTCAAGGAATACCAAAGCCACCAAAAAGTGAAAAAGGCAAAGAAGGATTCTCCTATAGGGCCTCCATAGGGAGTACGACCCTGCAAACACCTTGATTTTGGACTTCTGGCCTCTGGAACTGTGAAAGAATACATTTCTGTTGCTTCAAGCCACCAAGGTTGTGGAAATTGTTACAGCAGCCACAGGAAACTAATACAGTAGGAAAGGTATGTATTTTTTCTTAGTCAACGTGTGAAAATATTTAACATATTTAAGAAAGTGCCAAAAAAAAAAAAAAAAAAGAAAAATGCCATGATGTCCGCAGCTCACAACTTACTTTTGAAAGGATCATAAAATATTTTTAAAAGTATATGTGTGTATTTTATAAATATATACACACATATAAACACACACATATATAGTGTATAAGGCAAATTATTAACGTTAATGATTGACATATTTAGATGAAGCGTATATGGCATAGTCATTGCACTATCCTTTCCAACTTTACGTAGAATTAAAATTTATTAAAAAATTAAAAGTTTTGGTGGCTCCATAGTGTAGTGGTTAGCACGTCTGCTTTACACGCAGAAGGTCCTGGGTTTACGCCCCAGGTGGAGCCACAGACCATACCCTGGGTGCAATAGGGCCCCAGAGTGCGCTGGAGGTGCTAGGCCCTGCATACACCAGGCCCCGGGTGCGAGCCACAAGCATGTTGGAAGAGATGTTCTGCCTTCAGAGATCCAGTTCTTAAGGGGAGACAGCAACATCCATAGGAAGGGGGGGAATTAAAAAGGGGGAAAAAATTAAAAGTTTGGAAAAAGAATAAGAGTACTTCTCTAGCTTAAAAAACATATATTTACTGGCCACACTAGGGCTGTCAGAAAGCAGCATCCATGGGTAGGACAGTTATTTCAGAAAGCTTCTTGGAAGTCCCAAATCAAAACCCACAGGATCCGTTGCTTTATATGCCCAATCCAACCCTCAAGATGGAAGGGCTATGAAAAGATGCTTCTGAATGGCAGAGCTAAGCCGGCTTCGTATTTTATTCACAAACCGGGGTGGCAAGGAGAAGGTAGAGTGACCAGTTTAAATAACACCAGAAAGAACTTAAAAGGTAAATTTATTTCCAATCTTTAAGTTTCAGATTCATGATCATTTGCATCACCAATAATTCTACCTGTACATATAGGTCTCTTCACAGCCTGCCTTTATGAAGCTAAGTACAGAGACCATTAAGTTGAATGGTGCTAATATGATTAAAGCTCTCTGTGGAGGAAACAAAAAGCCAAAGTAATAGTTTTTAAAAATAATATAAATATTATAAGCAGTAATCAGACAAAACAAATTCAGAACCTCAGTTAAACTGTTTGATCTCAAAGTTGAAAATTAAGTGAAAGCAATTTTTACAAGTAAATTAAAAAAATAAACACTGTGGAAATGAGGAAAACATAGACTAATTAGCTCAATTCTGTGATGATATGTAACCAAATGATATCTGTTCAAGTGACAAATCACAAAATAAACCAACAAAAGTGAATAATCTTTGAATATAATTTAGACTTTTTAGTTGCAAAGATGAGTGATCTGCACTCATATGCATTGCTAATTTAAAGAGAGAATTTGGTAACTGTCTTTTTGAATCCTAATAATAAAAATATAATCAATTATTTCAATTTAATTTTCCATTCATTCACTCAAAATACTGTTTGAGCACCTGCTATGTGTAAGACACTGAGGTTGGGGGAAAAGGATTTGAAAATACAAAGGTGAAAATGAGCTCTTAACTTCAAGGTATATATTACATACTTTTTTAAATTGACATAATTCACATATCATAAAATTTAGCTTTTAAAGTGTTCAATTCAGTGGTTTTAAGTATATCCACAAAATTGTTCAAACATCACCACTATCTAATTCCAGAACATGTCGTCACCCCCACCAAAGGAAACCTTATATCTATTAGCAATAATGTCCCATTTCCCCCTCCCTCTAGCCTCTGGTGACCACTAATCTCCTTTCTGTCTCTATGGATTTGCCTGCTCTGGACATTTCTTATAAATGGAATCATATAATCTACAGCCATGCCACCCTGAACACGCCTGATCTCGTCAGATCTCAGAAGCTAAGCAGGGTCGAGCCTGGTTAGTACTTGGATGGAGACAACCTAGGAAGACCAGGTGCTGTAGGTTTTTAAAGAATAAATAAAAATAAATAAAATAAAGTAAAAACAAATAGAATCATGTAATACACAGCCTTTTGTGACTGGCTTCTTACACTTAGCATAATGTTTTCAAGTTTCATTCATGTTGTAGCAAGTGTCAGTATTTCATTCCTTTTTATTTCCAAACAATATTCCATTGTATGGATATACCACATTTTGTTTATCTGTTCATCAGTTGACAGATACTTGGGCTGTCTCCACTTTTTGGCTCTTATGACTATTGATGCAACAAACATTCATATACAAGTTTTAATGTAAATAAAAGTTAATTAATACAGAATTAATATGTAATAATTATAGAATTAATGAATCAATATATTAATTCAGAATAAAATATGGTAAGCCTCATGTAGTAGATTTTTATAGGTTTGGGCTGCCCAATATTTATTTCTCCTTCTTCTTAGTAACAATACCCATATTCTCTGATGTGTAATCATACAGGGAAGCTTCCAAGAAAACTGACTTCACACCCCAAACCAGGGTAAACCTACTTGGCCTAAGACCAGCCCAACCTATCTCCAGTGACATTAATTCAGGTCAATGAGATATGAAATGAATTTTGCTGGGGCTTCTAGAAAAGATGCTTCCTTGCTATTCTGAAGTAGCTTCCCAGGGAAATATTCTCTTATTAGAGGTGAGGGAAACACAGGTAGCTTTCCTAGAAAACCAGTTACATTGAGATCAAGGAGCAAACTTTAGAAAATCAAATATTTTAGAAGAAATTAAAAGAAACCAGGTATTTGGTAACATCGCTGAGCCTCAACACTAAGGACTAAACTTTATCTGAGTTTTCGGCTGATGACTAGTAAATTCACTTAATTGTCAAACTAGTTTAAGTTTTCTATTGCTTATAATCAAATTCACTTAATTGTCAAACTAGTTTAAGTTTTCTATTGCTTATATTAACAAAAACTAAATTTTTAAAACATTTTATAATGTAACTCTGAGCTATGTGAATCCAGTGGTAACACTGTTTGTGAGAATCATGGAAGGCTTCATCTGAATTACACGAAAGTGATATTATGAATTACAACTTGCAATTTAGACAGTATTTAATAAGTACACTGGGCTAAACAAAATTAAGCAAATCTGTTGTATTGGAGGCCTTCTCAGAGACTTTACTATTCATTCATAATATATTCATGACATGAATTATGAATATATCCAAGAGAGAAATGTAATATATAGTGTTTACCGTATTTATTTCACCCTGAACCTTAAGGAATCCAGTTAGCTTGGGAAATACTGGCATGCATAATGTGTTAATGGATGGCTAGAAGAACAAGATCATCTTGGCCATCTTATTAGGAAGCTTGTATGAAGATTAGAGCATTTGAGATAAATTTTAAGGGACTGGTAAATCCTGAAGAAGTAGAATGGATCTAGGTAGCTTCTCGACTAAGTCAAGTTTATCAGCTAAGCTCCTTAGTCAAAAAGAAATCTGAAAGGGTAGTCATTAACAATGAGTCACTCTTAAACTTTATCAGTAAGCTCTCTCTCTTTTTTTCTTTCTGGAGTCCTGGAGCAAATTCAACAAATAAAAGAGAATAATTATTAACAAAATAAGTTAAAGTGAAAATTTTTTTAAAAATTGCCTGTTGTATTTATAGGAAATACCTGCATGAATAATGAGCAACTGATTTCTCATTAGAGTAAAGGCATGAATAATGAGCAACTGATTTCTCTTTATTTGATAAGGCACCTGGTAATGCATTTATCACATCTCAGCTTCACTATATACTTGTGAACATATCCTGAAATAAATACTGCAGCTTTTCAGCTCTGGCTATTTAACAGGAACAATTGATGGAGAAAACTGCAAGTTCACAGTTAGCAAAGAGAATTAAGGGTTGTTACTTTATTAAGACAGAATCATTAAGTCTCTAAAATCCATTTACAATAACTGATGGTAACTCCATTTAGTAGAAGGTCTTTCTCTTCTACATTTTTCCAAATCAGGCCTGTGAATGACAGGGTGATTAAAGCTTGAAAAAGAAAAGAGACCAGAGATACTTACATACATATCTATCTTTTATTTTCCAAAGAAAATTATAGGATTTTGCCATAAATTGCTTTCAACAAAAGGCAATAGTTTACACATAAAAAGATAGTGGAGAGGTGTGGATGGGGGTAGGCTTGGGCGTGGCAGTGGGAGATTAACTAATAAAAGATACCCAAAGACTATTTCTAGAAAAGCTATATGGCACAAGGAAGAAAATACAAACACTGAGCTTTCTCTTTTAGAGTAAACACTCATTGACTTCTTACATCCACCAGCCAGGGCTTATCCAAACTCCAGGCTGAAGTGGTATCTTGCATATGGCACACCTACCAACAGAAGACTAATTTGTCCCAAAGCAGAAAAAGCACACAAAACCAAATTCTTGGGCTGCAAAGATGCAAATGCTGACAAAATAAGGTGTTTACAGGGAACTTCTTATCAACAGCTAAGTCTTCAAAGGTAGAGAAAACTTGAGATACTCCTCTAGGTCCCAGATTCATACATCAAACATTCACTCCCAAGTTTTGCTACTTAGTGACTGAGGCTCTATCTTAAGTACATGAGGAAGCGACTGCCTCTGCTCTGCCCTTTAAAATTTATTACAAAATTCTTAGGACCCCAAAATTTGTTCATTACCCTAAAATCTTTCACTTCCTTCATGCCAAATGTTTTCTTGATATTTTACTCTGCTCCCCTGAACATGAGTCCCAAAGGTCTTTTCAAGTAAACAATTCCATATTTTAGGAATAAAGATATGGTATATTTTCAGCAGAATCAAAAGGCAATTCAAGGCTCTGCTCCTTGGGGCTTAACAAAAGATCATCCATTCACTGAAAACATAATAATGATTCCTTTCAATTGTTTTCATTGGTCTGTGGAAGTTTTTGTTGTAAAGACATATTATCAACCGCTATTTTTCTTAAATTATTTTCAAAATATTCTCTAAGTATAAAATAATGCACAATAGATATACAATATACAAGGGTAGCTTTCATTATCTTAAAATAAAATTTACCCAGCTACTCTCCCATAGTGTCATCCCAGGAAGTTAAAATCAGGGAATACAATTATTTCTTCACCTTTTACCAATGGCAAAGATAGAGAATCCACAAGCTAAGGCTGCTCTTGAATGGTTAAAAAAAAAAAAAAAAAAGGCAAAAATGAGGAAATAAGATCGAGGTGACTAACTGACGAGAACTGAGAGCTAAGGAAACGGGGAGAAAAAAGAGAGAGATTGACAGACCCAAGTCTGTACAGTTGGACTGTAGAAAATATAAGGTCCAGATAGAACATGGGTACTGAGATAGAAAGACCACTATTCTGGGAGTCAGGACATTACATTCTGGCCACACCGCTGAGATATCAGCTTTGTGATGCTAACCTCTGTTTTCTCATCTGAAGTATAAGGAGATGGAACAAACTGCCTCTGACATTCCATCACTAACTTTCTATGAATTGCTGGAAGGCTCCCAGATGGTGGAATCTAATATAAGCCAAAATGGAAATTTGGAGGAATCTGAAGCCTACCAAGAATCTCAGTGTCAGGACAGAGGTAACAGCCAGGGTAGGAAAAGAAACTGAGAAGTTGAAGAGTCAAAAGCAGATATCACATGAGCTATCTCCATTTTTCTACCATTGCTATAAGAGAAGAGATACTACATCACTACCTAAAAATATACTTACTTCTATTAGGTTGAGCCATATGAAATTGCTGATATTCAATTGTCACCCAAAAATGGCAATTTCATATAGTTCAGCTGAATATTTTCCATTATCTCATTTGGAGACAAGGAGTTCTCACACTGATGACAATTAGCTGATTTATACTGATTTACATGGAAAATGATAGATTTGACTTCTTAATTTTTTGATAAAGCTGATATTACTCAGTGACTAGTAAAACTATTAAATGCCCTCCATCATCTATTATTGTGGTTAATCTCCTTATTTCAAGACTATAATTCTGAGATGCTATATTCCCTTTTTTCCCAGTATATTATCACCTTAATTTTCCACCAATTAAGGAAATTGTGTCACAGAACCACAGAAATGAAAACATACAGTTTTCTTTAGAGTAGGTAATACTGAAGAGACCTTGAAATAGTGTGGCCTATGGAAAGAATTTTAAACAATAATACACCATCATTCTATGGAAGAGGGGATACAAATAATACCATATAAAAGAAGCCAACCATGTGCAGAAAAAGGATGGCAATAAGAAAGATGGTGAACATACAAGAGGAAAGGAATATCCCTACTATACAGCTCAAAAACTTCAAATTGATCCTTGCCTAATCATGAAGGAACTGAAAGAAGCATTCAGTTATGTTACGCTGGTTCCCTAGTAGAAGGAACTAGCTCTAAGGAACCAAGAAAATAAAAAGAGAAGTAAAAAGGGGTGGCTCAACCTTTGCCATTCAAACACAAACACCAACAGATTCAGTTGAGGACCACTCTCTGGAGATCTGAGTTTTGGCCCTAACCCTGTCACTAACTTGCTGTGTGTGACCTTGAGCAAGTCTTCATCTTCCAAAATCTGAATTTTCACCTCTTCAGAGTACAGAGGTGGAACAAATGATCTCAAGCAATATATTTTCGAACTTACAGAAAAATTGCAAGAATAGTAGAACTCCCCTAAGTCTTTTTACCAAAATCAAATTTTTTCACATTTTGTTTGTTTTATTATTTCCTACATAAAAATTTATAAATATATGAATTTTTTCCGAACCATTTGAGACTTAGAGACATCATACTCTTTTACCCCTAAACACTTGAGTGTGGTATTAAGAATGAAGCCATTCTTTAATGTAACCACAATATACATATAAAAATTAGGACATTTAACATTGATACAATACTATTACCTAGTTCACAGTCCATGTTAAATTTTGTTGATTGTCCTAAAAACATTATTTAGGTGTATTTTTTTATTTCCTGGACCAGGATCAAATCTAAGGTCACACAAGCATTTAGTTGTCATGTTTCTTTTGTTTTTTAATCTGAACCAATTCCTTAGCCTTTCTTTTTGTTTCTTGACCTTGACATTTTTGAAGAGTATAGGCCAGTTACTTTGTAAAATGGCCCTCAGTTTGGGTTTGTCTGACATTTCCTCGTGATTAGTTTGTGCATTTTTGGCAGGATTACTGCTGAAGAAATATTGTGTCTTCAGTGCTTCTTAAGAGGTACATAAAGTTGGTTTGTCCCAATATGAGTGATGTAGGTTTGATGACTTGGTTAAAATAGTGTTAATGAGATTCCTCCATTATTTCCCCTTTATAACTATTAAGTATCATGGAGAGAGACTTTGCTATGTAAATATCCTGCTGCTCATCAAACTTTCACCCACCAGTTGCTTACTTCATAATTCCATCTATATTTATTAGTTGTCTTCCTATTAAAAAAAAACTTTCATTTTTTCCTACACTTATATTAATGATTAACTTATTTATATCAGCATGGATTCATGGATTCTTATTTTATTCAATGAGTTATAACCCATTGCAAAGAGTATTTATTTTGATTAAAACAGTTCTTAATCTTTCTTTGTACCATGGACTCCTTTAGCAGTGTGAAGCCTATAGACCTCTTCTCAGAATGTTTTTTAATGCATCAAATAATTAAAAAGCTATTATATAGGTTTACAAAGGAAACCTATTATACTGAAATAGTTTCAAATATTAAAAATTTGTGATACAGTAATAAATGTTTCTTTATTAACACATTAAATAACAAGATCTAGTAGTGAGTACAAACAATATCAACATGTCTGCAACAACTGCAATATGATATGAAATTAACTGTATTTTTATATCAGTGGCAGTCACAAGTACGGTACTGCTAATACTGGTATGATTTTGTTACCAACATTTATATTAAAAGGAAATGCTAAATTTCAATTAAAAATTAGTGAAAATAAAGATGTAATTTTTCCCATCCACTTTAATGAACCCAATGAATTCTATCCTGGATGCCAGGTTCTGAATCCCTGATATGGTCTCTTTGTGCCCCTAACCTCTCTAAGGCCTACCTTAAGATCACATTATTTTTTAAGCCCCAAATTTCAATTTCCCAATATAAAAGCTCTCTCATCAATGTATAAAAACTAAATAAGACTCAAAAGGACACAGATCTGAGTAAAAGAAGAAATTGCTTCAAAAGTCCAGGGTCCTACAATACTAGAGCAAAGAAGTAGCCTCCTGAAGAATGGCCTGGAGCTGATCAGGGGTCCAGCAACACCCAAGGTAAAGAAACTGAAGCCCATATAGGAAGAATGACTTACCCAGGATCCCACAAAGAATGGAGTCAAGAGGCAGTGGCCAGAAAAGTCATCTTTAGAAGGCTTGATGATGAAAAGACTTAATCGGAATCTATTCAAACCATGGCTTCTAAAATGACTAAAGAAATAGAAGACTTATGATTTCCAGCTTGGATTTAAGACCAACTATAAGAATCTGTTTATGCTTTATGACACAGAGATTTACAATAAAGGGGAAAACAAGGCCTGAATTCCATTATGATAAAGCTGATGAGTTGTGTCAATTTTTCTACAGGTTTTAGTCTATAATATCATTTTCCCTTAAAAAATCATATAGTGCCACTGTTCTCCCAGTTCAGTGATAATGAACCACAGCAGCTTGACCATAATGTCTATGGGGCACTTTAGCAAGTTATGAATACAGCCATAAACAACAGTTCTGCAAATTATCCCTAGATTTCATAAATAATACATTTTTACATGTAATTTTTTTCATTGTACTTAAGAAAGACACTATGTTCTTGGGGTTCTTAGAATTTAACTTCTAAATTTAAATGTTAGAAATACAATAGGATCAAGCTGAAAATCTACTTACATTATCTTATAGCACCAACACCATGAGATGCATCAGTTTGCAGACCAGGACATAACGGCAAGGCTGAAGTTGCTGTGAACTCTGGAAGCAGAAGCAGGAGCCCAGTAGAAACATTTAGATCAGATGAAGTGTACAAAATCAGTATTCTTTGGGGAGCGGGGAAGAGATTTGGGTCTCGTCAACCTAAATCAAAGGATTCTCTCCTCCTACTACTTTAGGAAGTTTGAATCCCACTGAAAATTGGATTTTACTTCTCTACCACTGGTCTTCCTTAAAACTCCTCACCAAATCTATGTATGTGGGCAAGTGCTTAAATGTAAGATTATTTCATCCTTCTTGAAATAAAAGCTATGTTTGTGAACACGATGCAAAGTTAAACAGTACATAATTTCTAAGACTTTCCTATCTTTCTTCAGTATTTAAAATCTGAAGACCTGGACATCCTTACACTTAAACTTCTTTTTCCTACCCTTCCTACAATGTTATATTTCAATACTGGAGTGTGTAAATATTCATATTACCATTAAATCACTCCTGCTCCTGTTTAGCTGCTTAACTATTCATTGCTCTCATCTCTTGATCTACATGTTCAGACCTGAGAACTCATCGCACATCAAGGGGGAAAATTTTTGTAAACCTCAAATTATATATAACAAGTAATTTTTTAAAAATGAAATAATGACTTTTTACTGATTTGAGCCTGTGGTGGAGAGGTTTAGCTCCACTACTAGACTGTGTCTTAAGAATAGCCTTACACCTGAAACTTACTGGATTACGTTAACCAATGCCACCATAAAAAAAATAACAGCCCTATCTTGTCCAACTTTATATCCCACAAAAAACCTGAAATAGTGCAATGCGCACAGAAAGCGTTCATTTACTGAACATATAGATGTTCAGAAAGGGTTAGCATGCAACCAACCTCAGTCTACTTAACAAAAAACTGTCTTGTAACAAATCTGGACTGGTTCTTCAACCATTTATGCTAAAAGACACCCACCCCAATAAATAGTTTAGAAATTCTTGCAATAGAAGAAAATCATGATAAAACTGTCATTTAAAACAAAACTTAACAAAACAGATCCTTATTTACAATGCTTGGAATGGGACTCTCAAAACATTTGAATCTGAAATAACGAATCTCTAGATGTACATAAAATTACACAAGTCTCCTGTTTCCCTTAATTCCCAGTCATAGCTTTAACGTTTGTGGTACACAAAATGTCTATAGAGGAATAAAAAAGTTTACAGAGACAGTGTTTCAGGATTCTTAAGATATCTCTTGCAAGTCTCTCCAGGACTCGGGATAACTTTAATCTGAACTGAAGCCCGGGAAAGAACGGACTTTGGGGGCTGGGGAAAATTTAAGATAATAACCAACCGTATTTTAAAAAAGAAAAAAATCGTATTTTAAAATTAAAAAAATTAATCGGAGACACATTTCATCACAATGTTTTCAAAACGTAAATGACCTTGAATGGGGAAAGAAACGAGAATTACAAAATCTAAAACATTACCCATCAAGTTAAAAAAAAATGACTTTACATTGATCACCTGTATCAGCTCTAAAAGACCTCCTGCCCGGTAAGATCTCCATTAGCCCTTCTTCTAATCTAATAACCGCTAGTAGATTTGGGGGCAAATTGTTCCTGCGACTTTTGCTGACTGGGCTGGTGCGTGGTTTGGCCGGAAGGATTGAGGGACCCAAGAGAAAGATTTTGGGACTGGCTCTTCAAGGTTGCTTAAATTGCAGGAGGTCGAGGGTTAATCTTCCTAGTGTCAGTCATGGCTTTAATTTGGAAACTCAAGGAGCCTTTAGAGTCCATCCTGTCAGAGCCCTGGACCTTAACTTCCCCATCTGTGGAATGGAGCTGAAGATCGCTACTCGCAGGAAAGACGACTAAAGGACAACCCGAGGCCGCGCCAACGAGAAAGCAGCCATCCAGTTAGGGAAAGTAGGAGGAGGCGCTGAGAAGAGCGAGAACAGGGCAGTTTGCAGGAAGTGCTTTAGGGTTGGCAAGGGAGATAGAGGGCGGAGGCGGGAATGTGAAAGCCGAGCCCTAGCAGCGGAGTTTGTACCGAAGCTCAGGGGAGGCGGGGCGAAGCTGGGGCGAAGGGGTTAGTCAGTAGATGAGTAAAACGGGCCACCTCCCCCGAAAGAAGAGGGCTGGGAGCCGGGGAGGCTCGGAAGTGGCGGCTGCGTAACGTGGGGGGAAGGGGAAAGCGAACGCGCTCAGGGAAGGGGCGGGAAACGCGCGCCCACCGCACGCATGCGCGCGCCCAGCTCCTCCAGCCTGCTAGCCTGGGCTTCTCAGCGCGCACCCAGCGCCGACGGTGCGGACGTTAGAGGAGGAGCCACGCGGCCCTTCTTCACCCCGCCGCGAACGAAGTTCCGTCGCGCGTACTTCGAGGTGGCGGATAGCCACTTGTTTCTTCATTGGTGATTTAGGACCCAAGGAACGGGAGCACGTTTCTCTCTTGCGCTTTTCGCTCCCCTCCCCAATGAAGAATGGGGTGGGAGGTCCTGGGAGTGTCAGGGAGAGTCCGCTCCGGGTTTTCCCGCCCACTTTAACTCTGTGAGCGCTTCGACCGCGCGGCGCTTCACCGGGCGCGCCCGAGCCCTCCGCCGGAACTCGTTCTGCCTCCCCCACATAGCTTTTCCCCAGGAATGGAAATCGGGAGCTCGGACTGCTTTCCTTGAACCTCTCAGGGCAGGCGGCCACTTCCTACCCTTTCGGAGTTCCAACTCCAACAGTCATTGGCAGCTAAAATTCTCTAATAATGTTGCTCTGAGGGACTACTTGATGTCTCCGTGCGCTCGGTGGTGCGGCCGCGCTGTGAGCTCTTCCTGGAAACTCCCGCCTCGGGGAGCCAGGAGAGCCCGGCCTGGGGGAGGGGAGCGGAGGGGACGCACACGCCCCCTGTCTCAAGGGAAGGCTCCGCGCCCCCTCCCCCTCCCCGTGGGGAGGGAGGGGAGGCACGAGAGGGGGAGGGGAGAGAACAGGGCACGGAAACGGGGGGAGCGGTTTCCCGCCCCACCCCCCGGCTGGATAACAACGGGTTTCCACTGCTGCCCCCTGCTGCCCACAGCTCCCCGCGCCCCTATCCGGCCCCGCGAGGGGCTTCCGGGGCTCCGCAGCCGCTGGGGCCGTGGGAACCAGAGCCGAGACTTATGAGAATGACGGGGTTTCCTGTCAGAAAACTTGAAGTTACTTTAGAAAAGCCCGTTGGGCCAACTTGGTCCCAGCCGCAGTTAGCCACATTTCACTACAGCCTGGTGACCTCCTTTCTACTTTAAAACAACGGAGAATAATCTTGGGGGAGCAGTCGGTTGATAAAACCAAGAGCAACACCACGTTGACCGCCTTGACTCAAAGGAAATTAAACAAAATACTCATTGTGGGGAATTTTTAAAGGGCTACTAACAGAAGGAACTCAGGTTTTTCAAGTTAAGGTTTTTCCCCCACCCGTATGTACACAAAGATTGAAGTCATGAGAGTTTATTACAACAGTACATCTGCTTGTAAGCTGACGAGATTGTGGTTTAAAAAACCTTCGTGAACTTTTTAAAGAGAGGCGTTTGTTTCCGAATCCAACAGGAAAAAAACCAATTCGAAAGAGCCTGAAAAAGTTCAATTAGAATAGCAGCCACATTTCAACATTTCCCAGATTTTGCAATATTAAACTGAGGGTTTGTGCCAAATTTTAAGGCACGAATTCTTACTGCCAAAATTATAAATTTCTCAAAATGAGGGGTGTTCAACCAAATTGCTGCCAGACCCCATAAACAGGCACTCACAGCACTGCTATAATTACACCTTATTATCTCCCTCGCAGCCTTTTTTGATTCACTGCCGGATAAAATCATCCCGGGTGTCACTAACTGGCTTTTTTCTGGGGCTGATCACACACCTCCCATGCCTCAGTTCGTCCAACGCCTGTTTAGCTGTATAACCCAGCACCCTCTATTCCATTATTCATAGTCCATCTCTCTCTTCCTAAAATGTAACCCAGTCAGGGAGATTATTCTCACACAGCTTTTCTAGGGACTAAGAAATGAAGATGAAAACAAATTTACCAGAATTACAAGAAAAAAGTTCTTTGAAGAAAAGGATTTAGGCCAAGAAACCAAATTTGTTTAATTCGAGCCCCCCTACAGGGGTTTAGCATAGTGAGTTGAATGCAGCTTAATCACTTTCTTTGTTCTGGGCTCTTTGCATTTATTTAATGTAGTATTTTAACACTATTTGACACAACCTAAAGGTAATTTCTTCTGTTAGTGTAGAGTCTAGGCTGTGGACCATACAACAAAACCAAAAAGGTTTCTGTGGAATCTTTGACATTTGTAGAATTCTGTACTAAGCTGCTTTATGACCAAGACTAAAAAGGTGGAGGGTTTTTGTTTTTTTGTTTTTGTTTTTGGGGGGGCGGGGCGGGACGTGTATGCTTTTATTTTTTTTAAATCCAGGGATTTAAAAAAATTTGCCATTGTAGACCATTTAATTCTTTTGGTAGGATCTGTAGCTCCGCAGCCCTCATTGGGAGCCACATTTACTCATTTTTGCCTGAAAGCTTTTTTATTTCAGTAGGGAGAAAACGAAGTGATTATGTTGGGTCTCGTCCCCCACGAGATTTTAATTCTTATAACTTTTACTCTCCCCCTTAAATAACAATTCTACCCCTGCCTCTCACTAGCCCCAGATTGAGGGGCATTCATTCACAAATGACTCTTGAGCTTCCTGAATGTCTGCTTCCTTATAAAGCCAAAACCTCAATGCTGTGTGGCTCATTGAATTAAGTCTTGTAAAGAAGCAGGCAGATAACCTAAGTGCCTGGGAGAGATAACCTCTTTTCTGTTCTACCTTTAAATTATCTTCCAACATACAGGAATAATAATAATATCTGTCCTTTACTGTGGGTAAGCCAGGCACTGTTCTAAGCTCTCCATATGAATTAACTCCTCACAACAGGCGTAAGAGGAGGATACAATTGTTGCCACTACTTTACAGACGAGGAAATGAGACAGAGGAGTTAAGTAATCAGCACAAGATCACCCAGGCTGGAACCTACAGAGCTAGGAATTTGAAGCCAGGCTGCTTCCAAATGTTTCTCATCATCCAAGCTGGTTTATCAGCTTAACTATCATAGAGTGACGTTCCATTAGTTCACCACCTTTACACTCAGGATGTCCCCTATATGACCAGGTCCTGGGCCATGCTTTTTCTTCTGGAACTCCAGTAAAGTGAAATTTGTCTGAGATATGCTTAGGAACAGCATTCCCAAATCAGATTATTCTCTTGGAAGCCAGCCTCAAACTGTCAGCATATGCATTGTAAATGCTAACCAGGACAGACACATCCCACCTCACCAGATTCAGAACATGCCAATCTCACATTATAAAGAAGCAAGGTGGTTAGAAAGTGATTTTGATTCTCTGATGTTGAGCTAGATAGAAACCAGTAGATGAAGTGGGAAGAAAAAAGATGATGGGAAGCCAAGAGAAAATAAAAGTAACGTGCACATGGAGAGATAAGTACTACACTGCAAAGAATGAGGAGGATCAAGGTTATGCAGAAAAGAAGCATGTGGGCGTCTTATGACAGAACTAGAAAAGGAACATAAACATGAAAACCAAGTATGTGGCAAAGGGAGGTGGTGGGGAGTCAGGTTAATCTTTTTCCCCCATATGGAGCTTTTTTTAAAAAATATAATTTTAGTCTGGATTAATAGAAATACAGCATCTGATGGGGGGGAAATCACAAATTATATCATTCGTAAATTATACGAATGTCTAACCACTATGTTGTACACTGAAACTAATAAAAAATAATGTTGAATAGTAACACTAATTGAAAAATGAAAATAAAAAATAGAAATACAGCATCTGAAACAAGGAAAGAAAGCTCCATTCTGTTAGACAACATCTAAGTAACATGTTTACTTTTAGAGGGATATAATTAAGATGGTGAGGAGAATTGAAATCATGGCTTGTAAGGAGAAACTGAAGAATTCATGAGTGATAGAAGGGCCATCTTGAAATACCTGAAGGGCTACTGTGTAAAAAAAAATTTTTTTAATTAGATTTATTCTGGGTGACTTCCCAGAACTGATGGTTAGGAACTTCAGAGATACATATATTAGCTAAGACTATGGAAGAATTCATGTAAATATGAAATAGTGTCTTGAAGCATTCAAAATGCACATGGTGGCTGGACCAAAAAATGTTTGTTACTTTTCATCCTTGCTCTGCCATTCACTTGGACACTGTAAAAAAGGGGAAAACAATATAACCTACCTCATTAAGCTCTTGACATTCACTAAAAGTCAGCTCAAGAATATCCTGAAGTTCTAAGATTTGGAATTTCTAAATTTATCAGCGAGCAATTACTTAAGTCTGGTGCTTATAGATCACTTTTTTGGTATTACCAATATTATCCTGAATGAGGGCTTGTGTATCACTTGGCACCCTAAGGGTATCCTGGTGCAACTGAAACTTATTTAGTAGCATTCAGAGAGCAGTATCATGAATTCCTTGCCACCAGGATCATAAAAGTTGATTGTAGCACCACATTGCAATTCCAGAGGCAAACAACATGGTAAGATAATGTGGGGTGACTATAGAAAGGGTAAAGAAAATAATAAAATCTGGCAGACTGAGAGAACTCAAACAGTACAGCTTTGTGTTGGAGTTTGAAAAGCAATAGCAGAGGAGGTCAGCCTTATATTTCATATACAAGATTCAGGTGAGATGTTTCATCTTGAGCAAAAGGTGTCATGAGGCCCATAGAAGCAACTGGGTAAATCTGGGTACAGAGACAAACACAAGCCAACTGGTAAGCTGGTTATTGTGGAATATTAGTTCCATAAAGACTTTGCTATTTCATGGATTATAAGGCTGACCTCAGCCGCATCTTTAAACAAAAAGAAAGCATACACAACTGTTAAAAGGGACAATGAAGTTTTGTCAGCAATCAGATTTACTTAAATTCTTGCTTGGTTCCTTCAACCCAAAAGGGAAAATGAATAGGAGGCAGTATGGCTGTGGAATAGAACAAACCAGGAACTAGAAGCCCAGCTCTGCCTCTATTAGCTGAATGACTAGAGCAAATAACTTTAGCTCTCTAAGCCAAAGTTTCCTCATCTGTGGAATGGAACTAACAATGACAGCCACCTCATAACATTATTGTGAGGATTGTATGCTATATTACATGTAAAATATACTTAAGATGGTGCCTAATAAATTAACAGAATAAAGTTTTATTGGGGAAGGGGGAGAGAAAGTGTGGCTATATTAGTGTTTGTAATATAGACTCTGCCATATAAAGATAGTGACATTATACAAAGGGAATGGAGGACCATGACCACCACACAACTCTCCCTTCTTAGGTGGTCGCCAAAGGGCCTAAACTATGGAACTGCTATAATTTATAGGAGAAAGCCAGCTGAAGTGGAATTTCAAGGGTCCTTACTCCAAATGCAAGGTAAATGATTTCCCTTCTCTCTCCTTTGGTTCTGTTTTCCTCTTCATGCTTTAATCATTTTGACACCAAACGGTACAAAAGTAATTTAAAATTAACATGTCTGACACTTGGTAGCTAGCAGAACCTGATTCTGAACCCTGCCCCCTCTCTAGGGCAACCAAAAGTCTTTTTTGATTGGCTACTGGTCCTGCAGCAGCTGATGAAGGGCCCAGGAAAATACATCTAACAATTAATTTGCTAATTTAGTTTTCTGTTTAATTTGAAACCAGAAAATCCTCAATCACCCAGGAGCTTGGCTTTCAGGCTCAAGCACAGGCTTCTGAAACTTCTTGTTCAGTAGTGAGCAAAGAAACAAGAGAGGGAGAAAGCTTACATACCTAGGTATATACCACGTACCCCTATGCCCTTCTAGCCTCACAACCGTTTTCTATGGGATCACAGTTCACAAGTCCTTTTCCCAGGAGAATTCAGAGCAATATATTCATATTCCATGTAGGTAAACTGCTTCCTGAGTTATGAGGAATTTCCAGACCAATATGTGTTCAGAATTTAGAATACTACCTTAGTGTTGTAGACAGACTCAGATGAGTTTCTAGCACTAGAAGTAAGCATTGCTCTAAATTGTGAACCAGCTTTTAGGTTCCCTGGGAAATTTTCTGCTGATTTCAAAAGGAGGCAAAGGAAATTTATATCAGAGTTTGAAAGATTTATATTAGAAAGGTGGATGAGAAGAAAGACATAGGTATCTTCCCACAAATTCCTCTGCTAGCTTTCCCTTGCTGGAGAAAGTTTCAGATTTAAGAAGAGGGGGTAAGCTTAACCCTGAAGTGTACATCAGAACCCATACCCCTTCTCCCACTCAGAGAGGATTTTGACCAGTTGGTGGTTTAATTTTACTATTTTTCCACCTCAGGCAGGTTAAACTCTTCTGTCTGACTTCAAGACCTTCTATAATTTGGCCCAACCCTACCTATCAAAGCGTATATTCTAATTTGGCCAGACTTGATGTTCTGAGAACCTGCTGCTATGTTAATACCTCTGAACCTTTGTTAATTTCCCTACTGATTTTCCTCCACATGCTCCTCTCCTT